CGTGAAAGGGAACTGTCAGCAGGTGTCAAGGCCCGGGCAGGGGTCCGAGGCCGGCGCCCGGCTGGCTGGCACGCGGGCGTCCTGCGCGGCACCGTCTGCACTACAGGTGTCCCTGCAGGAGAGATGACAGGCGCGGGGGTGCTGCAGTTCCGAGGGGAGACGCTGGCACCCTCTGCGGTCACAGAGACCGGGTCTTTCCTTTTATGGCTGTTTTCAATGTTATCCCAGAAACATAACCTTGTTTAAAAACCCCAACGCGTTTTGCCAGAACGAGCAGCAAAATGGTGACCTCACCCCCGCGGCCCTTGGGGGAGGTCGTCTCGTACCAGGGCGAACGTCGTGGTCTCCTGACAGCTCTTCCGTCCTCCAGCATCATTCTCCCTCGACCCACAGCCCTCTCCTTCCTGAGAGCTCTTTCTCCAGCCCTGAGACTAGCGGGCCAACCGTCAGCCGGCATGCAGAGTCCTCGGTCTGGCCCCAGCTGCCTTCCCAGCTTCAGTGCGGCCGCGTCCTGTTCAGCCGCGCTCTGAGCAGCTCCCTCGCTGGCCAAAGTCCCTCGATGGTGCGCACGCCCGGCGGCGGGGCACGGCCAGGGCGACCCTCTCTTGGAAGCCGCTGTGCGGGGACCTGTTCCCGATGAGACTGGTTCCAACCTCAGCTCCAGCTCCACAAAAACCTCTCTGGATTCCAGGAGTGGGTCTTGTGTTGCCCCTGGGGTGACTCAACTTTCGAGAAAGGGGACCATGTACAGGAATGTGGTGTGAGAGCGTTGGTGAAGGCTAAAAAGCAAGATAATCCTGCCACTCCTGCCGGCGGGCCGTGCCCAGGGCCGTCGCCCTCGGGGTCCTGACCACCAGAAGGTGCCCTCAGGCACCCAAAGGAGACAGATGCCTTTCATCTCCAAAACCAAAGGCTGTTTGAGTATCTGTCAATCCTCGGGTCACAGAAAAGGCCAGGAGCCCATCCACCAGAGAAAAAGGAGGTGGCTGAGCCCTGAACTGTATGGCGGGGTCGTCCATCCATGAGGGGTCTCCCAGGCCGGGCGCTGAGTCAGCACAGGGGTCCGGGCTCCCCTCTGCCCGGGGGGCGGTCGTGGCTGCTCGTGCACCTGGGATGTCTGTCTGTCTGTCTGTCTGCACCTCGTGCTCAGCTCAGCCCAGATGCAGGGCTGGGTCTTCCCGGGACCTCCTTTTGGGCTGACGTCCATGCAAACACAAACCCGTTTCTTTAGAAGCTAATGTTCTTGACCAGCTTTGATGCTCAGACACCTGCATTTACTCTTTGCCCCTCAGTGACTGCAAACACTGACCTGTTACCCAGGGCAGAGCCGTTCATCCTGAGTGGGGAGTTCCCTTCTGGTTTTTACAACCAAGTGTCCAGCCCCAACCCCTGACCCAGCACCACCCACCTCCATGGGCGGCTCTCCAGCCCCTGCAGAGCCCAGATTCCACTCCCTGCAGCTGACTCTCCCCCAGGCCCTCCGCTCCTAAGCACCCCGGGCCCCACCGCCCTGACGACGCAGCTCAGGTGTGAGGAGGTGCCCAGCCAGCGCCATGCCTGTCACACCTCCTTCCTCTGCCTCCCCTCCTCCCACGCTCCCTGTGCCCGCAGGCTCAACCCCCAACAAACCCGACTTCTTTGTAATTAGCGCTCAAGTCATCACCCTCCTTATCCCATTTCCTGGAACGCATGCTGCGTCTTCTGTTTCCGGCTTTGGAGGTCCTGACAGTTAAAGGCGGGAGCTGGACTCAGCGCAGGGGACGTGAGCAGCCGGTGCTCCCGGCTCAGTCCAGCCAGGGAGGTGGTATCGTCTCCGGGATTGTCTAGAAGCAGCGTGGGATGGGGCTTGGGTACCGGCGGCACATTTGGGAGGTGATTCCAGGTGTGCTGGGAGGAGAAAAGCCAAGGGCGGTGCCTGAGCGACCAGGTGACCCCTGGGCCGTGGGGTGAGGTCCTTCGGGGAAGCTTGGAAGACGCATGTAGAACATGCTGGAACCTGCCTGCAATTTGTCCCGTGACGTGGAAGTAGGGGATCGCCCCGACCCCCTTCCCTGGCTGAGTGTTGTCTTGGAGGTGTTCAACCCCCAAATTTAGGGGGGGGGAGTGGTCACATGTGGAAAGTTCCCCTGAGCCCAGGTGAGCCAGGCGACCCTTGGTGAGCCCAGAAGTGACCAAGGGGCTGCTTGCTTCCCCCGAACTCTGGGGCAAGTCGACCCACTGTCACCTCCCAGTGCTCAGTGCTTTACCAATGTTGGCACTTCCTTTTCGTATTTTGATGGATAAAATACTTCGCACTGTTATTCCACCACAGCTCAGCTAATTTGACTTCCTTTTCGCATGAAGGATAGTTCTAACCCGGTTCTAGGAATTAGCGGTTCATGGTCCCCCCAAGTCATCTTCACAATCAGCCCACTCCCTGCTCGCTGACACGGTGGCCACGGTGATATTTAGAGCTGAGCTGCCGCGCATTCAGCACACGCAGCTGACCCGGGACAGAGGAAGCCAAGAGAAAGCACAAGTCAGGAGAAGAACACTGAGATTCAAAAAGTCATGAATAGTCAACACCTGCGCTTCTTACAGCCCGCGCTGGCGCAGCGCCGGCCGAGCCGGCTCTCGGGAGCTTTCAGACAGCACTAGGGGAAGGCATTGCACAAAAGGGACTTTTTCCGGAACACTCTGGTATATAGTAGACGTCAAGTGTTGACAGCGTGTAGGAAACACCCCCCCCCACCAAAAGTGCCTGCATCGACGTGACCGTGAGGGCGCTGCCTGAAACAGCACCAGCGGGACACAGACAGAACAAATGGAGAGGGGGGATTCTGAACTGACAATGATAGACTATCGTGCTCTTACCAAAAATGTTTTCCCAAGGTTTATAAGAATATTTTTAAAATGCATAAAAGGGACAAAACAGTGTTTAAATATATAAATGAGATTGAATCTTGTGACGCTGACTATGCTGAAAGAGTTGGTTCAGCCACGATCAGCCACAGGTCAGTCTTGGTTAGACTGTCTAGGAAAAATGTTTGTTCTTGATATTTCTTTAAAATCTGTTTTTAGGGGAAAAAACACTAGAAGGAATTGTACCCATTGATGGGGATGACTGTCCCTCAGGGCAGGATTTCAGGTGCCCTTTTTCTTCTTCTTGGCATTCTTTGTATTCCGTGAATTCTGTGATGAGCACGTGTTCCTTGGGTAGCACAACTTTATTTTGTTAGTGGTGTGACCATGCGTCTTGCGAGACTTTGAGGAGTTTTCATAGGAACATGAAGCAGACAAGTTCCCACGAGGCCGATCCGCTTGCTGGGGCAGACGCTGCGGGTGTTCGGGACCCCAGGGCTGCAGCTCGGGCCCCGTCTCCGGGCCGTCTCGCCCGTGACGCCCGCACGCCCGTGGGGATGCCGAGCCCCTCCCCGCGTCCTGGCCCGGGTACCGCTGTGGCTCCAGAGAGGCCATCACCCACCGGGGGGCCCTCCTGCTGTTGGGAGGAGATGCTGGGCCCAGGTGGCTGGAGGGCGCCTGGCAAAGAGCCTCTGTTTCATTTGTACTAACTTTGCACCAACGGCCTCATGGTGGTCGCCCGTCTGAGCACAGAAAGGCTCGGGTGTGCGGTCTGTGTGGTACTCATTCCAGCACAGACTTGGATCCAAACTCCAGGGGGCTCATCTGGCCGTGGCATCGGTCTATCTCCCCAGGGCTGCCCACGGCCAAGGGGCTGGCCAAGGGTCACCTGCCGAGGGCCTGACCTCAGAGGGCCTGAGTCAAGATCCAGGGTTACGGAAAAGTCTTTCCTTCCTGGCCCCCGGGAAGGCCGTCCCTACTTCCAAGGGGCATTTTGCAGAAGGAAGAGGCCCTCAACAGCACGTCCCCAGTGCCTTTATCTAAGCAGACAGGGGTAAATGAATAGTCTTCTGCTGGGTTTACTCTGCCCCTTACAGCCCGGGTTTTAAAAAGGCTCTCTTGTGGTTTGTACTCGTGAAAACAATACAGAAACAAAAGCTTCCACTTACAGATTACAAAACCGCAAACCCAAAGGCCCCTTCCCCAGGCCAGAATCCCCACGGAAGGCCCTAAGCCAGGCCCTTTTAAACCACCAGGAATCCGCACAGCCTTGCTTCATTATTGCATCAGTTCAGGACTTCCCAAGCTGGAGCATTGAACAAAGGCGATGAAAAGTCGTGTTAATCACTCGGTCCACGAATCAAGCGGCCTTTCTGGGCCTCATGTTTAAGCAGCTGGAAATCTGATGGGCTTTGCTGTCAAGTCCTCGAGTGTGAGCAGCTCATAAAGGCGGCCGGCGTGCTTTATAGAGACCCTCTCTACGGCACCAGCGGGGCACTCGGACTGGCCTTGTCTGTTCACAAGCCGCTTGCAGGCGTCTTCTGAAATCCTTGCAAGGTAGGGGTCTAGGCTCCCCAGAAAAACTCAGAGCGCTGGGGCTGGTGCCTCATGCCCCCACCTTGTTTCCACCGATTCTCACATGTCGGCACCTAAGAACCAAAGTCTGGATGGAATCACCCACTTCAATGAGGCAAGAAAATCTCATTAGTGAAACCACTCAACCGAGGCCACGGGGATACATTCCGAGACCGACTGCGTCAACTTCGCGTCCTGGGCAGGAGAGGGTGGTGTCTCCGGCAGCCTCCCACGTAGGTTAGTCTGATGCTGTGTTGCTAAGTGGGGCCTGGTTGGTTTCCAAAACAAAGAGGGGGAGCACTTTGACATTGACGACATGAAACAGATGCTCGCACGTGTTTCTCAAAAGCTCACGCGCCATCACGTCTAGGGAAGATGGTTCGCGTCTCCCAGTGAATTCCACCGGAGCAGACTGGTCAGACTGATTCAGGCCCTCAGAATTATAAATATGTCTGCACTGTCAGGCGGAGCGTGGCAGCCAAACTCAGACGCATCCATCGCGCGGGTCTCCAGGGAGGAGCCCTGTCCTGGGTGACTCTGTGGGGCAGGAATCTGCTCCATCTCATCGCGTGACTAACGCCTGAGCCCAGCCCTGCGGGCGATTCGTGGCCACAGGAGTGGAGGAGAGAGAAACAGAAAGAGCCTCTGCTCCAGGGGACATACCCCTCATCTGGGCTCCGCGGGCCCCCCCCTGGAGCCAGTGCCGGGCGGGCCTGGGGGCACGTGCAGCAAGACCAGAGCCCGGGCACTGAGGGGGTCCCGGGGATCCCTGAGTGCCGAGTGGGAGCCCCGCTCCTCCAGGGGCTGCCACCCCACACGGTCACGTGGCGGCACGGAGGAGGCACAGAGCGGTGGCGTGGCGTCACGTGTCAGTCAGGTGGGGCGGGCAGGCCAGGCAGGCGGGCTCCCAGGATGGGACTCGGTGTCAAGAATGGAAAGTGGACAGAGAGGGTGGTGAGACAGCTCAGGGTGGCCGGCGGGGCTGGTGACTGGCGGTGACACTGGGTACAAGCTTCCAGGACCATAAGGCCAGTGTACTGGACACAGAACCAGCAACCCCCTTGGGTGGCAGTGACGGTGACCAAATGGGGTCAAGGCCCTGTGGGCGCTGCCCTCCCAGACGTCTGGAGAAGTGGCCGGAACCGAGGGGCAGGAACGGCCGGGAGCTCCGGCCTTTGTCCCTCACCTCCTGCCTCTGGGGCGGGGCGCAGAGAGGGGAAGTGGCTTTGCCGGGCGTCTCTGGTGTCCCCGTGGGAGGGAGAGCGGGCACGTGGGGGCAGAGCCTCGGCGAGGGAGAGGCCAATGCCCTTCCCATCCTCCACGCCGGGTTGTGCCGGGGCCTGGGGAGCATTCAGCCCCTCCACACACAGACACATACACACACAGTCCTGTACACACAGACGCACATGTATACACACATTCACACATTACACACCACACACACCCCTCTGCGCATGTACACACACATACACACACGTGTGCCCCTCTACACACTTACACACTCCCATGCGCACCAGCCACACACACAGCATATACATGCACATACTGGCTCCCCTCTACACACGTACATACCTCTGCACACACATCCTCGTGCATACAGCACACGGACACGCAGACACACAGCCCACACGAGAGCCTCAGCTGTTTCAGAGGCCATTCCGTCCTGCAGGAGCTGTTTATTCAAATCACCTCTACGTCTTGGAAAACAAAGAATGTCTCGTGGGGAGGGAGTCTTTTTTAAAATAAAATTTTAGCTTAATAACTGTGGTTTTTAAAATCAGGTCTTTACAAAGATGCCCTCTGCGCACACCAGGGTGGCCCTGTGCGTGTGCGCACGGCGCTTGCTCTTGCACTCCGTGTCACCGGGCGTATCTGCTCATTTAGGTGAACGCGCTGCTCTGCAGTTCTGAGCTCACAAGGCTACTTCTCCTGCCAGGGCCTTGCGCCAAGGGCTGTATTTTATTTCCGAGCGAGTCTCTGGATAGATAAAGCGATGCAGGCACTAAAATTCACGGTGCAAAGGGAAAGTGGTCTCCCGTGAGGGTGGCTGAGATAATCTCCCTCTTGCGTCTAATTCTTAAGAGCTGGCGCCACCTCCGTCCTCCCCGAAGCCCCAGGGCCTCACCGCACCAGTGCCCCAGCCCGACTCTGAGGAGCCCGGCTCGGTCCCCCTGCTCCGGGGAGACGGGTCTCCCGGGCGGCCCTCCCCTGCTGTCCTCCCGGGGCCCGAGTCTCCATTCCAGCTGCACCTGCTCGGGGAGGGGCTGCAGAATGCATCCTGGGGGGAGCTGGCTGCAGGGCGCATTTGCTTTTGAATTCCCAAGGCCATCTCCAGTCTTCATGATAATCATCACTACACACACATTCCTATTACTGCCTTCTGCGTTCAGCCTCATTTTGTGAAGAAATCCAAGTGGACTACACTGTTGTATCAGGTTCACTTTATACCCAAAAGCCAAAGCAGGAAAGAAAACTCATTGGCAGGAGATTCAATTATAAAAGGGTTTTTCCCCCTAAATTCAAATGAGATTCAGAAGTCAACTGCCACCAAGTCACCCTGAGGGTGTAAAGACCGCTGGGCCCGTCCACAGGTGTGGGAGCCCCTGCCCGAGCCCGACGTCCGCGGGGCTCGTGCCTCAGGGAGGTGTGCGCCCCGGCCCCCAGCCCGGTGCCAGCAGGAATCGCATCGGCACAGACACGTGCTTCCTCTGCGCCTTCCCTGTAACCGTCCCTTCCAGGGACCCGCCCCTGTTTGCCTGTCAGCGGCTTCCACGTACAGGTGGAGACAGGTGCCCTGCGATGCCACCACGCCCTTCAGAGCCTCCTTCCCCATCAGGACAAGAAGGAGGTTCCTTTTCTTGCGCTTTGGCCTCAGATCGTTTGACCCCTGAGTGTCACCCGGCCTGATTCCATGGCCCCGTAGGGAAAGGGGCGGGTCCCTGGGCTTGGGGGACGGTCACTGAGGAGCGCCTCCACTTGTGGTCCTTACCCCTCTCTCCAGAAGCATGTCTCGGAAGTGGGTCGCCCGCTCCTCCAGGGGCAGGAGGATCTGGGCGGGCGGTGGCGTCTTGGCGCCCAGGTCCTCTCTCTCCGCCTCCTCGGGCCCGGGACTCGCGAGGCCTTCCGTCCTTCGGAGGACAAGACAGAGAGAGTCAGACGTGACCTTGGAGATGCAGCTGCTTGTCACTGCAACCTTTCAAAAGGCTCCAGGTGACCCTGTCAGAAGCAAAGACCCTTTGAACACTTTGGGAAGCCTGGTGCTGTCGGCCCAGCGAGGCCGAGACTTGGCCTCAAACGGCTTTGCTGTGTTTGGGGCAGAAAGTCGAGACGGAAGCCCCGTGCGTGGAGCGGCAGCCGGAGGGAAGGCAGCAGGGCCCCCAGGCGGGAGGCTGAGAGGCCCCCGCGCCAGGGAATCGCCGCTCCAGGCTGTCGCCGCCGGGGAACAGAGCCAGCCTTCCTCTGAACAAGTCGCTGAAGCTAACCCCCGGTTCTCTGGGGTTTTTAGAGAGGCCTTTATCTGGAACAAATGCACGGAAGACGGTCCTGGGGAGACTGTTCTCTCGGCACCCAGGGTACAGAAAACAGAACCTGTTGTCCTGAGGTCCAGCCCGAAAGGGAGATTCCAGCGGCAGCAGGGGGATGGGCCCCACCCCGGGCAGCCGGCCCAGGATGGGCAGGGCTGGGCCACCGGGACCCGCAGGCTGTCCCCGCGGCGGGAAGGAAGGGGAGAGGCCGCTTTCATGAAGCACCAGCTCTGTGACTTGCGTGCTTTCTCTACCTGGCCATTTGAAAGACCTCCTCACATCGCTGCATCTTATTCTGGAAGCATCTGAAAGCCTCCTTCTAAAACACCTTGACATTTGCTGCTGGAAGAAAGCATGTGGCCAAATGCAGATACAGTAGCTGCCACGCCTGGCCCCCCCGGTCCCTGATCTGCCCTGCTCGGGAGCGGGGTCCCCCCAGTTGCCAACCCCGTCTCCTCTCACGCAGCCCACCCTCAGCCATGGTGCGCAGACTCGACCACGCTGGCCTGGAGAGCAGCCTGCCTCTCACGCAGACCCCCTGCGGGCCTCCTGCCCGCCCAGCCCTGCCCCCACCCCGGGTCAGGGCCCGCGGCAGTGATGCCAGGCGGCAGGTGGCTTAGTACCTCCTGCGGACCCGACAGCAGGGAGCACGCACTTGAGGAGTCTGGCCTTTCCCTGCTTCTTTGCACAGCCAGCCTCACCCCGGGAACTGCAGGGCTGAAGTCACTCAGGCCACGCGTGCCCAGTTTCCTGATGCAGGTCGAGATCAGGGCTCTCGCCCGGGTGACTTGCTCCTCGGGGACTCCGGCAGTGTCTGGGGACAGTTGTGATTGTCACTGCTGGGGCAGCACTCCCAGCACACAGGAACAGAGTCCAAGGGTGCCGCTAAACACCCTGCAGTGCACAGGACGAGCGGGGCACGTCTACACCCCCACATGTGGGGAGGGGACAGACTGCTCAAGGTCACACAGTCGCTCGGCAGCCCGACCAGGGCCGCCCCACCTCCCAACACCCGCCAGACCCATGGCTGTCCCACCCCTGCCGGTCCAGGGTGCTGCGGAAATACATCAGTTACCAATCTGGGGACGTGCTGAGAATATACCAGGTTCTATTTCTAACAAGGGTTTTCACGCATCAGGGTTATAATATGGATTAATTCAACCTCATACGAAACATGCAAAGAAAAAAATCTGTTTGCTCAGCCCATTAGGGAATCTTATTTATAGACCAACTATTTCAGGAGAACTTACATTCTTTGCTTCTTAGGCGATTATGTGGACTTTTGAAAAAAGAAAATTACCAGTGGATTCACAATTGTATCACATTCCGAAGGGTGTAATTAGGGTTCCTTTGTAATAAATTTTCATTAGTTAAAAATAGACGTGTGGAAGCAAGGCTTGCATTGTTGTAACTTGAAATAAGATTAATAGGAACATTGTGGATTCAGCGATGATCACATATTACAGCTTATTCAACAAAATACTCTGTTTTGAACCCCTGGACGCCTTCCAGACAGCAAAGTGATCGGTTCCATTAGGATCAATCAAAAGCAAAGGCAAGCTCGCTAAATATATTTTTAATGTTCTTATGGCTAAATACTTTGGGGACAAAAATTAAATTCTAATATTTAAAACGATCAAAAATTAGTTCAAGCCAAAATCGTACCGAGGGTGAGAGGCAGCGTCCCAAGGGCACCGTGGGAACCCGGGTGGGGACGACCTTGTGTCTCGGGAGGGTCCTGCCGTGTGGCTGTGGCCTCGCTAGGTTGACATACTGCACTGGGACATTTTACAGGTCAAGTTTAGGCTGGAAGTGGCTTGGTCTTGTCCAGCCCTTCCTCTGCAGAGCTGGGGTCTTTACTGCGAGGAGTGGCATGCATGGCCCCGGCCGCCTGTCCCCACTATGGAGACGTCACGCTGGCCATGCCTTCCTCGGAGCCCTGCTCCCCGCTCTGCCCCTCCCCTCATCCCTCCAGGTGCCACTGTGCCCGTCCAGCTGAGCCGCTGACAGGCGTGCGTGTGCACATGAGCGTGTCTGTCGTGGTGGTAATCCACAATGCCAGGCTTTTCTGACTCTGCCCCTGTGCACAGGACAGCTCATTATTTCGCAGAAGTCAGCGCAATTAGATTTTAGACACAGCAAGTCCCTTTATGGACAACAACCTTTAATTAGCTCATCTGGGGCAGAAGGAACTCGGGCCACTGGCCCTGGCACATCCGTGTGCCCAGAGGTCGCCTCTCAGACTCACAGACACGCCTCTTTCCGCCTCCAGAATCTTCCGGTGGAGCCACCCTGAGGTCGGAATGGTCGCCCTGGCAGAGGAATTACAGCTGCTGAACAGCCGCCTGTTACAGTTCAAGGGAAAGCGGCTTTTTACTGTCTTGTCTGTGAAGGGAGGGGAGGCTGGGTGGGGGAGAGCGAGAGCGAGAGCGAGAGCGAGAGCGAGCGGTTGGGAGTGATTCAGAAAACTGCGCGGACTTTGCAGCAGGCGCACCCCGGGAGGAGCACTTCTCAGCAAATCTGAGACCCCTCACGTTGACTCGAGTCTCACTGCCGCTGCCCCCGTAGCCCTGGGGAACGCGTTCCAAGACCCCCAGCAGACGCCTGACGCCTTGGCTAGTGCAGGGCCTTAGAGATACAGACGTAGATACAGATACAGGTTTCCCTACGCAGCCACGCCTATGACAAACTGTAATTTATGAATCAGGCACCATAAGAGTTTAACAACAAAAACCAACAACAAAAGAGGACAATTGCAACAATGTGCTGCAATAAAACTTATGTGAATGTGGTCTCTCGCTCTCAAAATATCTTACTATGTAAATGCAATAGCTTTTGCATCTTAACTCAGCCCTCAGCACGCACTGCGGCCACAGCTCTGGCGGCAGGGCTGTGAGGGCAGCAAAACCAGCACAGAGCTCTTCCTCCTGCACAACTGCGTGGACAGAAGACCCCACCTTACCCTCGATCTAGCAACTTCAGCTTCAGTCACTTTTCTTTTTCAGTCGGGGACGTTCACTTAAAAGAAGCGTGGTGTGGATTCTCTTTGGTAGCTCCAAATTGCCGGCATTGCTACTCTTTGCTTTGGGGCCACTAAGTAAAACCAGGGTCACTGGGACACAAGCACTTGACACTGAGAATGTGGACGTGACACCCTCGGTGGCTAAGGGACCAGCGGGCGGGACACAGTGGGGTGATTTGCGATCTGGGCGGGACGGCGCTGATGGTGCGAGATTTCATCTCGCTGCTCAGAACAGCACACAATTTGAAACACACGGATTGTTTATTTCAGGAATTTTCCATTGAATATGTTTAGCCCTGGTTCGACCGCAGATGACGTGAAACTGCCGAAAGGGGATGCTCAGATAAGGGGGGGCAACCGCGTACAAGTATCATCATCATCACAGCAGTCAGATGGGCGGAGGCTCAGAGCACGGAGCTGGACGGGTCAGGTCCAAACCTCATCTGGGGCAGATGCGTCCCGCACGCCTCAGTGTCCTCACGTGGCCAGTGACAGTGCCCCCTGGCAGGGTTGTGCGAATCCGATGAGATGTTCCAGGTCACTCCGTCGGAGCAGCCCCCACTCCATGCGTGCCCCCCACCTCTCCCTCCATCCTCTCCTCTAGCACTCGCCTTTGAGAGACTTGGAAGAAATAGAAGACTTGCTATGACCACTGTCTGAATGCAGGCGTGGGATGGAAAGAGAAATGAACGCCGACTCAGGCTGAGATGGGGCTGCACCCCAGTGATGGCACCTCCTCCAGAGAAACTGCTGGCATCTGAGCAGCACCTTGTTCTGGAGAAGAACCATGGGGGATGGACCGTGGGGCTGAGGGTGTCTGTGACGCTCGGGAGAGGACGCTGTCCGCACGACCTGGGGAGAACTGTGGGTGCTTGCTGGACCCTGTCTTTGGTAAAATGGGTAATTTGGGAAGGATGAGTCTGACACACCCCCAAGCAGCCCTGTAGTGAGAACGCGCCCGTGTTTTCAGTCCTGTTGAAATATTTAAATGTCTTGATTCTGGCATCAGTTTATTAGCTCTGTCTCCCAGGTTTGCAGTTCCTCTAAATGTGATAAGCGGGCCTCCTGCATCCAATTTGCTCATAAAAATGTTCAGCAGGAAATGTCAAAAGTAGATGCCTCCGGCAGGTCCCACCAGCCTCTCCGTGTGGGCAACAACCATTCTCACTGGCTGGTGAAGGGCCGGGAGGATGTCTGGGCAGCCCTGGCCTGCCTCCTGCAGAACCCGTGTCTGCTCGTGCTGTGACTCCCATCTGGGGTCCCTGCTGGTGGCATCTGAGGCTGTGCAGCCCCTTGTAAGGAGGGCCACTGAGTGACCTGGGTTTTGCTCAAACCCACATCTCTCCCTCCCTGCCCTTGGGTGGCTTCCCAGTTGGAGGGTGGCTGGGACTGTGTTCCTGCTTAACCTGCCAACTGCCTGTAACCAGTGACCCCTGGGTGCCACATGCTGCTAGTCCCCCGGGGCCTGCAGGTTTTATTCTAGAACATTCAGATCTTCTGTTTGCCCACCGTCTGCACTGGGTACCTCCTATGGCCCTCTGCAGGGCCTACAAGCCCTCAGTCCAGACCAGGTCCACAAGCT